GTGGGAGGACAATCGCTCACATACAAATCTAAGTCATTAGTAGAACCCACCAAGCCTGTTCTTGCCACATGTCAAGATCTTATTTTGTACTTAAAAGGGACAGTATACGTGATGTATACGCTGGGCGGTTCATTCAAAGAACCGCGCATGGAAATTTTTAGTAGAACTCACAATATTTGCACGTTAGCTTTCTGTACTTTGAGGAGACCTATAAAAAGCAAAGAAATAATAGCGTGGTAAACGAAAATGTTGATTAAAATGTTAACATTCACCTGCTCTCGATTGAAAGTCATGCCAAGTGACTGTGTTAGAACGTTAGCAAAGTGCTGTTAAGCTAACCCTTCTTCATGCCCACGTCTGTGGCCTCCAGGCTACACATTGTTTACCGGTTGCTGAATCGGAAGCTAAGAAGCCCAGCAACCTTTTCATTCGTCCACTTCAGCTGGCCGGTTGTCTTGCTTTAAAAAAAAAAGAGTGGAAGCGGAATTTACCGGATGTGCTGGTTCAGCAGTGAGGATTTGGAGAGAGAGGGGAGGGGGAGGGGGCTCAGGCATGTTTAAGGGCGTGGAGGACGCGTTGGCAGCAGCGGGTGACCAGCTCAGCATGTTGGGCGGTCGCATCAACGCTGGGCAACCTCATTCCCGCCAATATCTCGAATTTTCCCAACGTGGTACTGTGGGAAACCCCTGTCGCCAGATTACGTCAAAGAGATCAAGCTGGGGCTCTGTCGAAGTCCAGTGTGACGATGCCAAGCTCCGAGGACACCAATGGGGGTGTGGAGGGCCTGCCGCTGTGCCTATCAGCAGAAGGAAGGTGATGGGTTTGGGACACGCTGCAAGTTGATCAAATGGACGTTGGCACGTGACCAACAAATTGCAGCTATACAAGCTGGACAACGCAGAGGGCGGTCATAGTTCAGTAGCTTACGTGTTAGTTTCTCTCATTAATAAACTTTCCTCTTTGGAAATACCTGGGTTTCGCGACAAAGCTAGCTTTGCGCTCTTCGAAGCGTGAGTTTGTTGATCCCGGGGCGTCTACCCTCCGGTTTCTTCTCTTCGGTGCACGTGGCAACCGAGGTTGTGCTGTCGTCTTCAGATCAAGATAACTGATCGCATTCAACTAAGTACGAACCTTCGTGTTGAACTAAGTACGGTTCTACTAGGTTCGCCTTAAGTTCGGTTGAAGTAAACCGCAACGATGCCAAGCCACACGGTGGACTCTGAAGGAGATGTGGAAATGTCAATTCCAGAGCCGATTTTGAAGTCATTAGGGCGCCTGAACGCTCCAACTGGGACCATTCTGCCCTGATTGAGTCGTATCGCTAATGGGAGCGCTGTGTGTGGAGAAGATTCGCCACCGCTGTACTACTACCGGTGAGACGTTCGAGAACGTCATGGCCACCGTCAAGGGTTCGGTTAAGCGGAAGACGTTGAAGAACCTGGCCACCTATGTGCTGAAGAAGCACGTGGACTCGGTGACAGATGCTGACATCATGGGAGCTGTTGAGGCACGCTGCCGTACGCTCAAGAACGAGTTTGTCCCGGATGTCACATCTTTGTTTCGCCAGAAGTTAAAGATGGACCTTTCTATTGATGACTGTGACGCGCGGGTGTTCCGCTACTACGAGGATTTCAATGGCATTGTGGAGGACAATGGACTCCAGGGTTTGATCGGTGCTGGCGACGAGACCGGCGTCGGCTACAAAAGACGAATGTAAGCTCGCTGTCGGCTGTTGGTCGAAAATCTGCAGCCACCAGTGCTGAAAGCCCAAATCGGCCGATTTATCAACTTAGAGAGGCGTGACAGTAAATATGATGATGTCGCCCTTTTTGATTTGATACTGGAACATGCGAAGGTACAACAGCGGTTTACCGGATATCTCAGGACTACGTTGCTAAGTCCGATTCCAAGTCGGTGAAGTCAGATAAAAAGCCCCAGAAGGCAGGAACAGGGAAGCCAGCGGTGACAAATGCGCCACCAGCTACAGTGGCGCCGCAAGGAGCTCCACGGGCCGCTCGCCCGTCTCGTGCCCCTCCCCAGGAAGGTTGCCTAGTCTGTAAGGGTCCGCAATGGCTCAGGGACTGCCCTACTGCGACGGATGCACAGCGTGAGGATGCGGGGAAGAAGTACCGTGAAGCGAAGGAGCAGTGCTCGGGTGAACTGCGCTCCAAGGCTGCAAGATTGCTATACCTGGTGCTACGGTCCGTCTCAATGGCTTGCTTGAAGTTCCTTACTCTCCCGATACAGGTGCAGACAGAAGCATTATCCCTCAGTGCTTTGTGAACTCACTACGTGACGTGCAGTCCTCGCTATCTACTACCCCGTTAAGTACGCATGTGGATGCCAAGATGGCTGACGGGCGTTGTGTCCGATGCAGCGAGGAAGTTCTATTGGATCTGGAATTAGTCACTATCGCTGGAACGGTTTCGTTGAAGTCTGTGACCTGTGTTGTTCTACCTGGTGACGGCGACGAGTTCTTGCTGGGCCGCGATGCATTGAGGACTCTCGGTATTGACGTTGAAGCTCAGTTGACCCAATTAGCAGGTCCATCCTATTTGCCGATGACAATGACGACTTTCCTGTTGACGATGGGTTGCCAGAAGGCCGTAGTGAGCCTGAGATGAACGCTGCACTCGTCAATTTGATGGCGCGTGCAGTGGCCAATGGGCTTCCAGCAGAGTATATTGGTGTAGTGCAGGAAACACTGGCTGAATATGCAGACGTCTGGCGAGAGACAATTGGCCCGGGCCCTCCTGCTCTAGTAGAGCCTCCACGGGTGGCTATTCAGGACGGCGCAATTCCGCACCGTAGTGCACCACGCCGATACGCGCCTCTCCAAGCTCAGTTTGTCCAGAAAATAAGTTGTATCTCTGGTGAATAATGGCCTGGTTGTGCAGAACAATGCCTCCTGGTGGGCAAGTGCGGTGGTAACTGTCATCAAGCCCGGTTCTAGAGACCAGTTCCGGTTGACGATAGATTACAGGCCGGTGAACAGCGTGACGGTGCCAATTGCAGGCTCGATGCCAACTTCTGCGACAGCTTCGGACGCCTTCGCGGGCAACAAGGTTTTTGCATCATTTGATTTTACACAGGGATTGTGGCAACTCCCTCTGCACAAAGACAGTCGTGAGATGTTTCCCTTTATTACGGAGGACGACGTATTTACGCCCAATCGAGTCCTTCAATGTGCTACGGACTCGGCCTTGCATTTCCAGGGCGAGATGCAGAAGGTACTGGCTCCACTTATTCCCCACTCAGCCCTGGTGTGGATGGACGATGTGACGGTGGATGAGTTCGTCCAAGTCCTCGGGCAGTTCTTCTCACTTGTGGCTGCGGCCAAGCTGAAGCAGAACATGTTCAAGTCGAAGTTATTTGAGGTCGAGGTCCTATGGTGTGGGCGATTAATTTCTGGGGCTGGAGTCCGCCATGATCCGGCTAGAGTGAGCGCATTATCTACACTTCCTTTACCTGCTGCCGTATTTTGTGTGTGCCACTAATTGGCTTCAGGATTCGCTCCCCGACTACACCCGGACGGTTTCCCCCTCCAGGAGAAGCTAGCTGCGGAGAAGAAGCGAGTCGGTGGGCGCAGCCGTAACGCACTCAGTGCCGCCACGACCTGGTCGACTGCTGAACAAGCTGCCTATGAAGCGATGCTAGCACTGGTTCTTGACTCCGCGCTTATGGCGTCGCCTAATCCAGAAGCTGAGCTACTGGTGTTCACTGGTGTAGTCTTACTGGTTTCTCAATCGTGGTGACGCAAGTAGTCAATTGAAATCCAGAATTACCTGTGGCGAAGCAGCAGCACGAAATGGACGTCTGTATGGGCGGCATGTTCAAGCACAACGAGTTGAATTGGACGATCGTGGAAAAGGAAGCTTTTTCTATAGTGAAGGCCTGTCAAGACTTGGAATATCTGCTACTTCGGCCCAAGGGATTCCGACTTTATTGTTACCACGCAACTTGGTGTACATTTTCGCGCCACATGATTCCCTCAAGAAGCATGTGCGTCACAAGCTCCAGCGCTGGGAATCGCCTCTGTGGCCTCCACTACGTGATTGAGTACATTACTGGAGAGGATAATCTCTGGGAGGATATCGTTTCTAGATGGCACACTCGTGAGGTGGCTCGTGTAGCTGCCGTCCAGACACGTAGTCGTCATGCAGCTCCTATGGCCACTATTTATCAGCTTCGCCCGTTGGCAGATGATAGATTTACTTTTCCTACTTTGGACGAGATTCGTGAGGCGCAGGCTGTGGCTGGACAAGAGCGCACCCGCCTACGAGTCACTCTAGAAAAGAGGGGAGATGGTACGCTGGTGGTCGACGGACGACCGTGGATCCCAAACGGGGCTAAAGAGCACCTCGCAAGGCTGTTCGTTGTAGCTCACACTGCCTCACAAGGACATCGTGGCCAGGATCCCATGACTACGTTGTTGCAACAACGCTTCTGGATTTTCCGCATCCGCGAGAAAGTGGCGACATTCATCCGCGGGTGTTTGCTTTGCAAGCATGTAAAGGGTCCGCATTTCATTCCCCGACCGTATGGACCAACTTACGTCGCGACGAAGAGAATCGAGGCGCTACATTGGGATTTCCTCTCGCTGGGTAATGGCTATGGTGATACTTCCTACCTCTTGATTGCTAAAGATGAGCTCACTCACTATTGTGAGTTATTTCCGTGTGTGACACCTACGGCTTTTGTTGCCGCGGAATCTCTCGCTTTGAGTTGTAACGTATACATGGATACTGGGTTTTTACACCCTTCACGTTGAGACTGGTATCAATTGTTCTCTCATAAGTACTCTTTATAATGGACTTGCCACCCTTCATCAGTTAAAGTTGAGTGAATCAATTCGTTTAGTTATGCTCATACAAGCGCGTGTGATCGCTATAATTATTGTTTGGGGATAATTGGCTCGAAGTATTTAGAGGGCAACTTAAGCCAGTGCGCTCACCTATTGTCTTGGGAGTGTTAGGCCTTAGAATATCATGAACAACCATGCAACCACTCGCGTAAAAGCACTTCATTGGGAGGTTTAAACGTCTTTGTGTGAGTCGTTGTTTTCACGTGTTAAAGTTTAAAATTATGGTGTCGAGATTTGGAATCCCTAAAATGCTCATGTCAGACCAAGGTAGTCATTTTCGAAATGAAACTGTGAAACACCTGTGCTCCCGAATGAAGATCGAGCAAGAGTTTTCGCCTGTGTACTCTCCCTGGTTGAACGGTACGGTGGAACGGCTTATCGTTAGAATTGGGCGCTTGGCGGCCACTGCTTTGCCCTCTGTTGCTTTTTACCTAGGGTAACAACTCAATATAATTATTACAATTGCATATTTTACGGAAATCTCAATTTACCAATAATCCATAGTTCCGTCAATACAATTGCACAATATTTATATTATAATAATCTTTCCGAGCCCTGCCCCACAGAACCTTAGGCAATACCGTACACATGTACTGTAACCCTAGTTATGAGATACAGTATAAAAATATGAGTGAAACTATGTAAAACGTCGGCACATACAATTAATAAGTTTAGTTTAGAAAACGTTATAATAAAAGTCGATACATCATCGTTTCTTCCGATTGGCTAGATAATGGTATATCCTAAAAAGAAAAAAGAGTATAAGGTTGTTCGATAGCTGTATAGCAAAAACAATACAATTAAAAAAATCCAAGAAGGAACTTACCATCAAACATAATCGCTTCGTATGAAAATCACTGAATTACACTCAGTTTATGAATGAATGTGCGGCATCCCCATCCGCCAGGTAGAACTTGGCAAAACAGTGCTTAGTTTTGGTCCAGCGCAGTAAGTTTCCAATATCAACCCACTCTGGAGGTGATTCATTTCGAAAATGAGCTTTTTACTAAATGAAAAATTCACAGTTCAAGTGTAACCTAGTCCGCCGTCCTTATACGGACGATCAACATGCCACTTCACGTAAGGCAGTGCTGCTGAGTGGATCCCCGTAGTATTTGCTTCGCTATAATACTATAATCTATAAGATACGGTAATCGGAGCCCTACAGGCACGGCATCCGCACATTACTACCCGCCCTGACAGATGGAGACAGCAACCTAGCTTTGTCGTGAAACCCAGGTATTTCCAAAGAGGAAAGTTTATTAATGAGAGAAACTAACACGTAAGCTACTGAACTATGACCGCCCTCTGCGTTGTCCAGCTTGTATAGCTGCAATTTGTTGGTCACGTGCCAACGTCCATTTGATCAACTTGCAGCGTGTCCCAAACCCATCACCTTCCTTCTGCTGATAGGCACAGCGGCAGGCCCTCCACACCCCCATTGGTGTCCTCGGAGCTTGGCATCGTCACACTGGACTTCGACAGAGCCCGAGCTTGATCTCTTTGCCGTAATCTGACGAAACTGCCCGCAAAGGTTGGGCACAGTTGAAGTGCATTGGACTAGCCGAGCGGAGCTTGCAAATCCGCATCACCACTTGAACTCACATAGTCGCGAACTCTGACTGGCACATCTTGGAGTAACGTGATGATCGGCTCCCAGGAGTTCTCGATTGCTTGCAATCCCATCCACGCTACCAGAAGCTCCCAACGTTTGAGCTGCTGATTTAAGCGGTGGCCACTGAAGCCTTCGACACCCAACACCATTCCTTGATTAGAGACTAGCTCGAGCAATACCTCGTTGGTGTTGAGATCTGCATCCGCGTAGAATTTAAGCCGAGAGGCGTGAACCTCGTACGTACGCCCCGTCACCAGATTCTCGATTCTGAATGGGTGAGGCAAAGCCTCCGTGACCTTGAATGGGCCGATCCGTTGACCCAACAACTTGTTCTTGGTAATCGCTCGTCAATTCTTGACCAAAGTACGAAGTCGCCAATATCGAAATTAGCAGGAGCTCCCTTGTGAGCCCTCATGTCCTGTAGTTGCTTCCTTTCCTTGGCATCGGTGACCTCACGATGCATTGCATGTAGCGATTTGCGGAGACGCTCGAGGTGGTCGCTAATATTCCCGAGCTCGATGACTTGCTCAGTTCTCGAAGCACTGGGACGAACCACAACCATGTCCAACGCACTCGAAGCAGGAAGTCCTGTAAAAACATCTACTGGAGCATGTCCAGCAAGTGATCGAACTGGAGTATGATTCAGGTTAGCTTGAACAGCAGGCAACAGGTATGGCCACTCGTGCATGCCCAGGCCATATTCCAACAACAGCGCTCTGAAGACTTGAATCACGTCCTTGTCTGGTTGGTGTGAGTTGGACGGAGGCATTACGCTGGGCTTTCGTATCGCTCATTTTCTCATTTCAAGAGTGCCAAGTCGACTTCTCCCGCTATCGCCAGCTTTTTCTTCACGGACAGCGGCAACGGGCAGTTCTCCTACAAGCAGTGCGGAAAGGCTCGGAAGCAGGCCCCCGGGACGGGCTACACCAACCTCATCAACCACCAGGCAACGAGCCACCCGGGCTACAGAGAGACGTACGACGAGAGCCAGCGATCGTTCCACCAGTCCCTTGAAGCACACGGCTTCATCAACCCACGCACTATGGAGATCTTCATGTGGTTGGAGTGGGTTCTTGTACGGAACATGCCGCTGGCGAGGTCGACGACCCAATGACACGTGCGCTAGCTGCCATCAAGCCAGTATCGTCGAAGACTTTGGTGAAGTACATGCGTCATGTGGCAGACAAGGTGGGAAAGCGGATCGAGACAGACATGGGCAACCAGTTTGGCCTGATGTTTGACGGGTGGACGTCTGGACCTACCACTTCATCGCGATCTACGGCGTCTTCACGAAGGGCGGGGCGCTCCACGAAGTCTTGTTCGGGCTGTCCCCCGCGGAGCACGGTCAGACTGCTGAAGCTCACATCGACATGATTGACGCAGTGCTGAGTGTTTACAACAAGGATCGCAGCATGATTCTATTCAAGGTTGTCGACAACTGCGCTACAAACCAAGCCATTGCTACACGAATGGGCCTCTCGTTGGATGCGCAAGTCATCGCTTCAACCTTAGCCGTCAGCCGGTACCTTGAAGACTTCAAGACGCTGATCGACCAAGTGCAAACGCTATGCGTTCAGCTGCGGTACGACAACAATGCAGCAGAGCTGGCTCGGTTCACCAAGTACAAGCCGCTGAAGTCGAACGCAACGCGCTGATCATCCACTTATCAGATGCTGGCTCGTTATGTGGAGATCCTGGATGCCATCAAGATTGTGGCTGCGGTGGAGGACCTGCTTCCTCGGCCTAGCACGCATCGCCAGATTGTCCAGCTCGTCACTAAGCTTGAGGCGCTAGACAGTGTCTGCGTCAAGCTGCAGGCCGAAGAGAGCAACCTTGCTGACGTGCTTTTGACGCTGTCATTTCCAAGTACGCGACGGCACACCACCTGAGTGCATCTGCTCGAATCGTCCACTCTCCGGCCTTTGCGAATACCATTGTCAACCTGCTATCGGACCGGTCGCTGAGCTCTGATGAAGAAGAGGCTGTTGCTCGTTTTGCTGGCCCTGCTGATCTCGAACCAGCAGCTCCGAAGAAGAAGACGGACTTTGCGACGGAGACGCTTCGTCAGGCGAAGAAACCTCGCCGGGCTGCTGTGACCAAGTACATCGACGTGCTGCAAATGATTCTTCCTACCAGCAATCGATGAGAACGCCTCTACTCGCGGTGCAAGTTGGTGGTCAATCCTCTACGCTCCAGTCTGCTACCAGCTAACTTCGAGATGCTGGTGTTTCTACGTGCCAACCGGGAGCTCTGAGACTTCACATCTCTGTTGGGGTTCCATGAGGCGGCCGATAAACACGCAGAGTAGATGAAAGTCACTCAAGAAGTGATACCTCTTATAGTTGAAATTGTTTTCAATCATAAAATATAGGAGGTCGAAAACTTTCATACGCAAAACCCATTTCCGCTGGTGGACTGTCTTGCTAGAGTACCCCTAAGCCAGGACAAAAGTCCCGGTGGCAGCCACCAGCTTCTCGTACAGGTGTGGGACTCAAACGCTGCCCAGTGGATTGGTAGGATCATCCCAAACCACTGCACCGTTCTGACCCTGCCAATTTTGGACAATAATTGCAATACTTATTATTGTCGATACGGAATTACGGATTATGTTTCTTTTAGAAATCCAATACAATATTTTATTTTCCGAGCCTTGCTATGGGCCCACCACGGTATCTTCATCCATACTTTACCCCCCCCCCCCCCCTCCTTAAACACACAGGGTGTAGTGAATCTACGCTCAGCACCAATATAGCCAAACAACGAAAACCGCTACGAATGACCCCCACCCGACGTTAAGTTCAAAATGATGCTACTAGTAGTTGGTAGTTGCTTTGCTGATCGCGGTAGCAGATACCAGACAAGTGAGCGCATTTTTAGAAGTAATCAATGAACATCTGAATGTCATTTCATAGTTGCTTTTTCGAGAGATCTTCTCTCATTCTCGGAAATACCTCCCGCTAATCTATTCTGCGTGATGTGTACTCTTACGGCGTAAGACTTGCGCGATTTGAAGCGCCAGATCAGTGGTACCCAGCTAAAATTACATTCAGGATAGTACAAAGTATGCATCTACCGAACACATCGAGACAATGGCAGGTCTTATTTAAGATGTCGTTTTATCATTTTTCATTTTTGAGGCCTTTCAAACATTCAGATAGTGAAGACCCTGGTATCGCCTTTACAAACCAGGTTAGCAATTATCTTCTTTTGCACCTGTACGAGCTTGATATATTTGATAGATGCTAGCGATTCTACACGCATATGCAACACCTTAACGAGTTGGTACCCTCATCTGTACAGCTTTACTATGGGCAAACTGGTTCCAGTAGCTGTGTTGAGTCGACACTTGTCTGACTAATCGAATCACGATTCAGGATTTGCGCCAGCGATTGCTGTGCGTGCCGTTCGATCTTCCCAGCTTGTTCAAAGATAATGTCATATCTGTTGTCACGAAACCAATCGTGTGTTTTGATGGTATCAAAATGAGAGCGGGAGATGTGAACGATTCAGCAACGATGATTCTCGCATCCACTCACACCCGCTACATTCTTGTCCGAAAGGCCCACTTCCAAATTCTCGACAATGAGAGCGACCTCACTCCTGACCGCCATCCTTGCAGTCATCGTGGCTACTACTTCTTCCGCCGTCAAGCTCGACAATCCGAATGGTTATTCGCAAGAGAAGGGAACGAGGGCCCCATCCCAAGCGACGACATCAGGTAGTACTGGTACTGGTGCATCGTTGCTGAGGTCTTCTAATTCGCGCAGCATCGGAGCTGGTCTAGAGCAACAAGAAGGCTCCTCTTACATGGGTACATCTGGATCCGATGAGATCGCCTACGTCTCCGTGTGGGGAGCACCTGTTGTTGCACACACCTCTTCGAACCATAGCGCTGCTGTGCCCACCTTTGGCAAGATCACCTCGAAGGCTGGCGAGTGTGTCGTCGCTGAGCCGACTGAGTACATTAGCAAAGACTATTTGAACTGGGTTTGGCAGCACCGGATCGGACCAAACTCGGATACATCGAGCAAGTCGAACTGGAACGTGATGGATAACAAGAACTGGATCATGGATCACCTTGTGCACAACAACGGCTCGATGAACTACTGCGTTCGCTGGGATACCGACAGTCAATTGCCAAAGGATGTGGCGTCCAAGTTTCACGGAATCTTGGAACGCCACTACAACGCGTGGAACAGTGGCTCGAGGGCTACAATTGCTGGCCCTTTACAAAGCTCGGCATCAACATGGTCGGCTGGGCTACCAAAGACAAGACCCAGTTCGAGTGGAGTGATGAGTCAATGGGCACGGTCTACGAAGGTATTCTTGACCCCACCAATGGTGTCTCGCAGTGTCCAGATGAGTGCTACCGTTTCTACGACAATGTGAACGATCAGTGGTCGGACACCAGCAATTGCAAGGGTGAGCCGTTCGACGTCTCGCTCTGGCTCAAGGAAGATATCCCGTATGGTTTCGGCTATGACTGGGGCGAGGAGATCAGTCTCAACAACACTCTCCAAAACCTGTGCGACAAGAACCTCTTGTTCTTTGCCCATGAAATCGGCCACGGATTCGGACTTCCAGACTTTTACGGACTGGAGGACAAACCGGCCACGGATTTCCCCAACTGTGTCATGATGTCGTACAGTGCCATTACTGTCACCCCTGGCGACGACTGGATGCTGCGTCGTGTGCTTGACCACGTGCGCGATCGCTACAATTTTTAGGTTGTAAGCGATAGAGATGCCCCTTCTCTCCCATTACAGGCTCGCACTTGGCACGAGCTTATAGATTTTTTGTGTTGCGTAGCAGATTTCTAAATACCAATTGATGTTTTAGTTAGAATGCATCTGCTTCTGGAATCCTTCTTTTTTTTTATTTAGCTACCCATTTTTGGATTATGTATACTACCACCTTCACATTTCTAGCTTATATTGCTGCTATGAAAGCTAACAACGCGCCAAGCCAGCACACTACGCGAGCAACGAATGCATATCGTTCGCTTTCCTTCTCTACATTCTTAAGACCATTTTTGGTTGGCATCTCCATCAATTTTCCGATTACTTTTTATTCGTCCATTTCAATGACAACGCCTAAAAATTTCTTCGCATAACAAAAAGAAGCCTCTTCAACGCTTGCTCACTCTTTACTGTTTTCCATCTTGCATCAGCTCTCAACATCAAAGACGTTACGACTCAGCTTCTCGCTCAGAGTCCACAGCTTTTTCGCACCCGACTTTGACTTACTTATCTCCGACGGATCCTCGCGCACCGGATATCCAAACAATTGGAGATGTTTTGGTCCGAAGAAGTCACCGCCCCTGACATCGTTCCCGGTAGCAGCATACAGCGTCGGTAGAGTCCCCATTTGGGAACTTTGGCGAGGCGTCATCTCTGTTATCTTGTATGCGAGCCACCACATCCCGCGCCCAGACGAAGATGCCGACGCCGATGCAAGATTAGTCTTCGTAAGCCCCGGGTGACAAGCCACCGACGTAACACCTTCCACACCCGAAGACTCGATACGACGAGCCAGCTCCAAGGTGAACAGGATGTTGCTGAGCTTGGTCACGTTGTAATTATCCATCTCCCGGTACTTATCTTCGCTCGTCACCATGATGTCGTCCTCGTTCCACTTGGCTTGACGGTGCATGAAGCTGCTCACATTCACGATACGTGATGGGGTACTGAGCTTCAGTAACGGGAATAGCTGAGCCGTTAGGGCGAAGTGGCCCAAGTGGTTGGTAGCGAACTGCCGTTCGTGACCATCAGCCGAGAGCCCCCACGCTCCTCCCATGATGCCGGCATTGTTGATGAGTAGATCCAGACGGCGGTGACTCTTTTTGAAATCCTCCGAGAAATTTTTGACGCTGTTGAGATCGCCCAAATCCAACTTTGCGAACGTCACTTTGCCCGCCTCGGGAGTGGAGGACAAGGTCTCACGGAGACTGCGCTCGGCTTCACGACCACGCTCCTCGCTGCGGCAGGCTAGAACCACGTGAGCTCCTTTGCGAGCGAGCTCCAGAGCCGTCTCGTAGCCAATGCCCGAATTGGACCCCGTGACGACAGCGACCTTGCCCTCTTGCGACGGAATCCGCGACGCGTCCCATTTATCGGGCATTTGTCTGCGTGCGTTAGTTGTAGAGTCCGTCTTGCATAGAGTCATGTAGATAAACCGAGGCTTGCGTCGCTTTTTTTTTTCTTTTGGGTTGGCAGTTTGTTGTAAGATAGAAAGTGATCTTTACCAAAGCTGTTTACGTTGATAGACGCTAACGCTTCATTGTACAGTCCAGAAAACGTGGACTTCGCTCCTAATTTGGAGTGCAGACTCGAGCTGATTACTTGGTCACTCTTTGCGCAGAAGTTGTGACCAAATGATCTTGGATACTTGTTGTTGCACTAAAGGATTACGTTACGGTTTGAGGAAATCGTCATCGACGGGCATTACTCAAACTCCTAGCCTAAAGGATTAGGCGATTAGGCGATTGTTGAGGACATAAACACCCATCGCCAAGGCAAACTGCTTTCCTTGTGGACGAAGATAGTTTATCAGGTTATTATAAGTCGTTAACACACCTAAGTGGTTACAATACATACATGTACACCTTTCTTATGAGAAAAAAAATGCTTTCCAGATTCAGAGTTTAACCGGTCAAATTTTGTCAGGGGGTTGAAAAGCCCTAAAACTCGTCAATATAAGGCAGCTTATCCATGAAGGAAACGTATCGGCTATTGGAATGCATGATCGACAGTCGAGCTGCTTGAAAAAAAGTAGATTAAAAAAGATTTTTAGAGGTGTACAAGAATACGCTTCAGTGGCTTAACTTCATTAGCACTATCCTTGAAACGATACTGAGAGGTTAAGCCGCACTAAATAATTCGTTTACGACAGTGAAGGTAAATACACTAGTCGACTTCACTTATAATAGCCGTCGTTTTCGATGACCCCAGATCTCCGCTGTGGTAATAGACCATTGTCAACAAAAAGATGGCGTGAAGTTATATAATATGTAACATCAATATTGTTAAGACTCAGTGACAAAGACACTATTATATGTTTTAGCATGATGGGATAATGCCAGTATGGTGGTCCACTTTGGCTTCCTTACGTGGTCTGAACAGCGCTTACAGGCTTGATAGGTTGCGCAATATAAATCACAGTCGGATCGTTCGGGTCGACGAATGCCTTCTTCTGATTCTGCACAAAGTTCATATCGATCTCCTCTAAAATAATCGTTAAATTACAGTAAGAAAAAAACAATTGGTCCATGCCTGGTTACCTTTCTTCTTTCGTTTTTCCATCAACCGCAAGAACACCGGCAAGACAATTCCGGTGCCGCCGTTGGCGAATGTCACCTTCCACGAAAAATTCCCGCCACCAATATCTTCGTTCTTCACAAGCAAAAAGAGTGGTATATCAGTCAACGATACATTCTAAAGCGAAAAAAAAAGTGTTTCTTACAGCAGCAACAAGTCCAGAAATGCTGCAGGCGCCGAAGATCGGCTGGTTAAATTTTTCATCGGTCATTTTCACAAGCGGGATTTCCTTAAGTAAAAATGCAGTTAGTAAAACAATTTATTTGGCGACAAAGAGAATAGAATAAAAAAGAACGTACAAATGCCTCGAAGAAGCACCCGTGCTGTGTAACACCCTTCTCGGCTACGAAGATAATGCGCTGAGTAGTGCAGTAGATCCGACCTTTGCTTTTGAAGACAGCATGGCTACAAAGCACCAGAATGAGTTTCCAATGTACTGCCTGAACACATTCATCGTTGTACTCACTCGGGGGTCTTGCACTGGAAAGTGATCTTCGCTCGCTGCAGGATGAACAGTTCATTTTCGAGAGCCAAGGGCAACTTCTTGCCCTCTTCGTCCTCGAACAACTCTGGCTTGAAGGACATCGTAGAGGTGGCTTGTACGTATTGCACTAGAAATGGAAGTGAGCTTAAAACAAAACAAAACACACATCCCTTCCCCAAATAAAGACAAGTAACAGCTATGGTAAAAATGATCTCGAAAGCGATTATTCAATCAAAGACTGCAACTAGCTAACATCCTCATCGATCCCGAGGTGAATCATCGAGTTCCAAGCTTATCTATCTCCTCTGTTTCGCTTCGTTGTCACTTAAGGATTCAGTTTCACGTGTGTTGCTCTCTTTGGTGCAGGGTCTCTATTGATACTTGAACCTGCTCAAGCTCAAATAATGACTGAACTCTCCAAAGAAGCCTTTTCCTTCGTCGACCGAGACACCGTGGACTCAATAGCTGTCCATCCGTCAACAGTAGCCATCATGCCCAATAGTTGTCCGCGCACTAGCTCACGCTGTCTCAATATGGCCGGTGATAGCAACAACTCGTAACGACGTCATCTCGCTCTTCGCTTCCGCACAGACGTCTCGAAATCCACACCAACCGATCTGTATCATTGCCTTGCATCAATTCCCTTAGTAAAAGTCACTGCCGGGATTGCGAGTATCTTGCGACATTGGAATGTTCTGCGACTTAAAGTCGTGTTCATAGCCAAAGCTGTCCTGGGACATCGCAAACTTGTCACTCGACATTTGACTGAACGACTGCGTCTGTGCCATCTGCGTGAACGGGCCATCCATCCCCATCGATGACTGCGTCATCCCGTCTTGAGTCAGCGGTCCCATGCTTCCAGGCACATAACTGCTAGGTCCACGACGAGTGCCACGCTGCGGTGCAGGCGGAGGAAGACCAGTTGAAAGCGGGTCAATAGGAGGAACTCCCGTCTGCTCATAGCGAGGATCAAAGCGCGAGTCCAACGGAGGAGCTGGTCCACGTCGATTAAATCCATTTCCTTCACGACGAGGGCCACGCGTGTGCTTCTGGAGAGGAAACTGCATGTGGGAGGGCGTCAAATTATTCAAAGGTCCTTCCACAATCAAGTGGTTATCACGGTAATGGTTCAGCAGCTTGTTCCAGAGCTCTTGCTTGGCCAAAACACGAGGGTTTCCCAGCAAGATCACGCCATATTTGGCACGTGTGAGCGCCACATTTAACCGCCGTTTGTCACTTAAGAAGCCGATGCCCTGGTTCTCATTGGACCGCACACAGGAGAGAATGATCAGATCCTTTTCTCGACCTTGGAACGAGTCCACACTCGCCACTTCCACGTCTTTATAGAGCTGGGAGCGCAACGGTCCATTGCGTTGCATGTAGCTGACGACGTACGCGCGTTGACCTTCATACGGCGTGATAACTCCGATCTGCGAGGGCATCACACCTGCTTTTAGGAACGTTGTGACAATCTTCTCCACATTACTAGCCTCCGTGCGGTTCAAGTAACTGGTACCCGATGAACTGATCTCTTCAGCGCCCAAACAAATGTAGAAGAACGTTGGTTTGTTCGGATTCGGCCACGGGAAGTCCACACTGGACAACTGACGTTCACTCGCCGCCACGCCATTCTGTAGATCGCCTTCATAGAACTCGTTGGACGGGAATTCAGACAGGAATGGATGCATACGGTACTGCACTCGTAGTCGGAAAGGCCGGTGCTTCTTGTCGATCAGAACCAGACGATCAAATAGTGACTGCTTCAAGCCAGCATTTGCAGCCTTCTTGTTCATAACCACCGGTCCCAATTGACAGTGATCGCCCACCATCACCACATGCTTTGCACCTTGAACAATCGGGATCAAACACTCCGGTTCAGTTGCTTGCGTGGCTTCATCGATCAACACTTGACGGAATCGGAAGTTGGACAAACGAGGGTCTCCTGCACCCACACACGTCGTACAAATAACATCTGCAGCCTGTAGAATCTCCCGCTCCGCCTGACGTTTCAAAGACTTGAATCGCTTCTCGTCTTGAGACGACAACTCACCGATATCGTCCTTCAGTTGCATGAGTTTGCGCAGGTCAGCCTTATCCGGAGAGTCCAGAGACTTGATCATCGCATGGAGCGACAAGTGTTCGACCGAAGACGCCACCGCCTCTCGACTCTTAGCAGCCAGACGCACGACTCGAAGGCCCGTAGCACTGATCTTCATGGTCAAGTGATCCACGGCAATGTTACTGGGTGCAGTGACCAATACTTGACCCATATTCTGCTTCGACATGTGGAAGACAATAGACGCCGACGTCACAGTCTTACCGGTGCCTGGAGGACCTTGAATCAAACTCAGAGGCTGTTCCAGCACACCTTTCACTGCTTCCATCTGCCACGTATTCAGCTCCGGAAGTCCAGGAGCTGAGAAATGGGTCCCTACCGAGCGAGGAATACGCAAAGGCTGCACTCCCACGTCATGACCCAAGATCTTGTGGTACAAATACCCCGTCAGCGACGTGTCATCCACTGCGAAAGTCTTCATAGCCGCCTGCATGCGGTCAAACGACGTAGATTTCCACACAAAATCCACCAAATATCCGTCCGCGATCTCGATAGGCACATTGTTGCTCCGCATCTCCAATGCAACTTCTGATTCCTCCAATCTGAGTACATGACCTGTGCCTTCCCAGTCTTTACCGTACAACATACTGGCGCTGGGTCCCAAGCGAAGACGGATCTCATCTCCAGGAACCAGTCTCAGATCTGAGTCCGGTCTGGAACAGGTAAAAATAGCATTGCGCTTCTTGTTTAGACCTGTATCCCATCTGACCATCACTCCTTCCTGAGTCTGAGACTCTTTCATCTTCTTGTCGTAATCAGATTCCATTTTGACCAATGGGCCAAAGATATTCTGATACTGGTATCCGTCGTCATAGACTTCCAGCACTTTAATCGGTTCATCATCAATCCCCGGTCTGTCCAGATCTTCCACAGTTGCCAGCGGATTATCCCGCCACAGTTCTTCCAGCTTGGCGATCTGAGTGGATGTTATCTGTCTCGCGCGCAGCTGTTCGTGCTCTGAAGGGACCTTAACGAGCCACGGCAAGAAGCTCCGGTCGTCGATAATTGGCAGCCACTGGGACATATCCCAGCTCATATCTTTCAGAGCGTTCATCTGCAGACACGGATCTCTGCACAGCAGTACGACCACCGAGTCCTGTTTGGCCGGGATAAAACCCAATAGAAACGCATTGCGACAGCCGCAATTGTAGCATTCCAACACTGTCTCGCCCAGTGGGGACTCTGGGTGGAGTGAGACTTCCTTGTTCTTGCTGCGCACCAAATGCTGGATGATGTGCGAGCCGCTCGTGTTGCCTCTGGAGTTGCAGAACCACTTCTCGGTGGCTACACACTTGACCACAGACGCAGGATCGTGCAGACCGCAGTAGGCACAAGCGTGTTTGGGTAGCTCCCTTGCTGTGTAGTCCAGTGCGTCCTCGTCCGCTGTCTCGTCGAATGTGAGGCTCTGGAAGTCGCCAGCGAGGCTGGCATCGTCCAGTTGGCTCTGGAAGGTGCTGGATACGTCATCAGCGGTTGCTGATTGGTCGAAAAACGACGTCCCACTGCCAACGGGCGCTTGGTATTGGTCGTAAAACGAGTCCGCACTGGTGCCAGCATCTGAAGGATCCACGAAGGCGTATTGAGACTGCGACGCCTGCGTGAGGGGGAAGCTCTGCGACGACTGCGACTGCGCCGGCTGCGTCTGCAGGAAGTCGTCGTACGCGTTGAAACCGAAGGAGTCGCTCATAGCGGAGAGTGCGGCAGATAGGGTCGCGGTTGGCTACTGACGGGCGGTGTTCCAATTGGGTGAAACACTTGTAGAGCAGAATGTGGAGTGGCAAACATCAAAATATGCTCGTCAATTGATTGTGGTGCTAAACTGATTGACGGATTTACGGCCACCTTCAACGACGACCTTCATTAACGTCTTCTGCCTGCCACATTGCCAAGGAAGGCCAAACGCCTGCCGCAGGAGGCAACAATCAAGACGACACCACGCAGACGATGCCTTGCGTGCTCGGGTGAACGCACGTAGAGAATTTTCGCTGAGCTTTTGAGGCTGGATAGTCTTAGGCACGAGAATACGCTCGAGGAGCGGCAGTGCAAAGAGCAAGGCCAGCCAGGTGCTTGCTTATTGCTCGATGTAGGACTTTCCTCCGCTGTCATCTAGCTAGGAAGTCGCAAGCCAAATGCTTGACTTGCTGACTCAGCCGTGTCGTGTCTCCCAAACGCACGTGATCGCTTGTCGTGGAAGTCTGAGCTGAGCTTGGACGTCGGCTTCAAGTCGAACGTCACTGAAATTTCCATCATGTTCACCAGCCACACGTTCTCGTCGGCGTCTGAAGTTTCGTAGGGCACGGAACAATGGCGCCCACTCGTTTCGATGCCTCTTCCTTTCAACTTGTCCGACTTCACGCCGTTGTACACGTCAAAACGTTTGACAACCTCAACTCGGCAATTTCCGCAATCTAAGTAGCCAGGTGCATGCAGCGAGCTACAAACGCACCGCACCGTTCGGTGAATGGATGCGTGCCGCTCGGCACCTTCACCAGCCCATGTCTTTATCGTTATGATTATGGTGGTGAAGCCACCTTCCCCCCTCCTTCCACCTCGATGGTGTTGTGCAGTATAGTACCGTTTTGGTCAACTCACGATCGCACTCCATCGAGATGGCGAGGTGAGCCCATCGATCAATTGTGCCCGGCAGGTGCACACCGTTTGGCATCATTGGATGAATGCATCATGACCGTTATATACATTATCACAGTTGGAGAACAATGCAGCACCGTCAAATTGTGTATTCTATACCTAAGGTTATACGTTTCGAACAGACCAACGGAGCCGTCGCCGCCTCGCCTATGCGGTGACCGGAGTCGCCCGCTCGTCATTAGTTGCGAATATCCTCTGCAGCCCGCAAGTCGCTTTCGCTATGGTGCAGCCGACCGAGTCGCCGCCCAGTACGGGCGTAATTCTATCCAGCTCACCGCTTAACTGGGACGGCAAGTGCCAGAAATGCCGCAAGCTCATGTCCCGCTGCGTCTGCTTCCAGGAGACTGAAGGCGACACCGACCCGCTCCACGCCAGCACCGCCTTGTACGTCTCCACGAATTCTTTCGCTCAACCGATTGCCATCTGTGTATGCACCACGTGAACTCATTCAAGTCATGTGTTTTTCCTCTGTTATCCAGCCAAGTGCCTACAGACGCCTCCGAGACGCGTCCGCTCTGGAATGCGCTGCGTAAAATGCACCGCAAGTCGACGGCATCGCGTCTGTCGCTCCTGCAGCCGCCCACAAACGCACAACCTTCCAAGGAACACCACCGCAAACACAGCGAAGCTCTTCCGCCTCTCAGTGCTCCTCATCTGCATCGACGTTCCGATGCTCGCCCTCCGCAGAGCTCCACAAGACGTGGCAGCAGAGAACCGAGACGTGAACTGGCACCGGAACGATCATCCATGAGCCGGAAAGACCGACTGCAACGCGCTGGTATTACGACCAGCAGTCACAACCTCAAGAGGGACGTCAAGGACGCAGGCGTCATGCGTTCCGTGCAGTCGACAAGCAGCATGGTCAAGCACGGTAGCGTAAACGCTTCTCGTCCCAAGGAAAAGCTTAGCTACGGGCCGGAAGAAGGCTCACCTAGCGATGAAGAGAACGACGAGACTGTATGGGAGCTGTAAGTGTCGAGCTCTCTATTTCACGTGCTGTACTTGCCGGCGCTCGCCACTTGTGCAGCACGTACGATGAATATATGTACCATGGTCCGAGTGAACAACCATATTTTTCAACTAAACTTTTCTTTCGCCATTTTTTTTTTTCATTTCCTTACGGAAACTTCGCTTCATCATTTTCAAACGACAAAGTTCGAAATGGCACAAATCGCGATCACATTTTTCAATCTTTTCTACAATTTTCTCATCGTCAAAATACTAGAAAACAATTCACATTAACTACAGCGACTTCACTTCCACACTGCAAGTCGTTCCTCACTTAACGCCTCGACTGACTTTTCAGTAGTTCTCGTTCATGAGCTGCAGCACGACATTGAGCTCTTCGCCCGTGAACTCAGGTGCTGCTGGGTTCATAGGCGGCGGCACTGCAAATCCGCCGTATTTGCTATCTTCGTGGCTTTGTGGAGGCGGCCGAAGAACGTGGTTGCCTGGGGGTGGCAACATTTGATGTTGGTGGTTTTGCGGTTGATTCTCATAGCTGCCACTACTTCGCTCCTCTTCGGGTCGAAGTGGAGCGAAGTGGCTGCTGTTGGTAGTGAAACTAGGACGGGTGAACGCACTATCAGAGCTGATAGAGAACGAGCCTCCAGTGCTCGAGTACTGCACCGAGGGGAAGGCATTGCCCGACTTGAGTCGGCGTTGGTCCGACCCGTACAGATGATCCAGATCCGGAGCCTTTTTGCTCTGATCTTTGGGCAACATAGTCGGGAGACTGCCACCGAGATCCGAGCCGAAGAAAGGAGGACCCATGAGTTTAGTACGATTGGGAGGAGCCAAGACGCTGCTCTTGGGCTTATCGTAGCTGCTCGCGTACAGAAAGCTGCCAGTCGGGGCGGTGGAGACGTGGTGGGCGTTGTACGGAAGGCTGTCGGTGGCGTATTCGCGAGTGGTGTCCGCTGTGGAGAAGTAGTCATTGTCCTTCTCGGATCCCTCGACCGCGGCGACGGCAGAGTGATGGTCGCGCTCTTGCAGACCATGATGTTGCCGAGCGTAGGTGTGCTCTTGTTGTGCACCCACAATGATATTGTGATGCAATTTTTGGTGTTGCGCAAATTCTTTGTAATTGTCACAGCTCCAGTTGCAATTTTGCCCGATACACCGGAACAGATTTTGCCCTTCAGGGAAATGGATGCGCATGTGTCTCTTGAGTTTCGTGCTTGTGTTGAAGCGCTTTCCGCAGCTCTCGAAGATACATGGGTACGGCCGCTCTCCACTGTGGATACGCTTGTGGCGACTTAAGTTGCCCGACGTGTTGAAGCGCTGCGTGCAGCCCTCGTAGTCGCACACATAGGGCTTGGTGCCCGTGTGGATGCGCATGTGGCGTCGGAGCGCGAAAGACCGTGGGAACTGCTTGCCACAGTGAACTTCAGTGCAGATGAAAATCTGCTTGTTGCCGTTTTTCTTCTTGGGTGGAGGCGAGCTACTCTCCGAAATGGCAGGGGGCGGTGGAGGAGGCAAAGATGGCTCCGGCGAGTAGCTGGACGTTTCTTGTTGCCAGACAAGCGACCGGGCGTCGTCACGCTTCATCAGCGCCGGTAGCGCCGCGCCCGCAGAGCTTGAAGCCGAGATGTCGTCGTGCATGACCAGCATGGCGGAAGTTGCGAAGTGAAAACAGCGATAGAGAATTGAAGCGGGTGCAAGTTGGCTCGGTCTGACTTGGGCTCACTATGACTTTTTACCTTCTCTTCACCCTCTCGCCCTCAACTGAGCGGCTGTTTCGAGGCGCATCCCCCTTTTGTTCCTGCTCCGAAAAAAGGGTACCGACATCGATAAAAGTGCCCAAATCCTTGGTGAGAGATACTTCCAGCGTCGAACATGGCTCGCCAAGCCAGCAGCGAAGATAAGTAGCTTTACACTACTACTGCTGTCTACATGTTGCCGAAGTACGTTCACGCTCCACAGTCCCAGTATGTTCGCAGTCGTCCGGTGATGCGACTTCTGAAGTGGATGAGCGCCCCACCAAAGCCAAATTTAGCGCCAATTTCCGGCTCGCAAGAAATGCCTCCCATCCCCCGTATATCGCCTATATGATCACGAACATCTCGTCTGCAATCTCCAGCGAGGTTGTAAACCAATTCTACTTGTTCATAAGTCTACGTGGATGTATTTTATCAATAGAGTAAAACCTTCGAGCTTTAGCTATAAATTAAACCCGCGAATGCAGATATGAGCACGGTACTTGTAGCTGCACTTTTTTGAAGGTGCACTTGACGTTTCGGACAAAAACAACACTCGATTCTCCCACGAACGGTTTTGAGCTCAAACTTTGGCAGACAAATTTGATTCTCCCTCTACCAAGTTCCACAGTAGCACGGATTGCTCATTGACTCACTGACAGCGAGTCTACATCGTCTCGGTCATTCAATGATTCTTCGAGTGTGTGTTGTGTTGCAGTGCAACAATGACTGCCATAACCCATCTGTTGCTGGCTGGTCAAGGGCTGGTCATGCTCGCAGCGCAAGCGTGCATGTATTAGTACAATTCTCGCGTATTTGTTTTTCAGCAGTAAGTAAGTAAGAGTGACAGCAAGTGTAGTTACATACACACAATACAGTACCGCCAGCAAATAATTATTGGCAATTGATCCGATTCCAGTGCAAACAAGCCTGAATAAGTGGAGCCATTTGAGGAACTCGTCTCTTCCGCGCCATTGCCCCTCCCATCAGCTCATCTTCGTGTTGATCACTTTCAACCAGCGCAATCACACCCATACTAACTGAAATGGGCTGTAAATGTTAACAAAATAGCTTGTCTGAGCTACACATCGACACGCAAAGCTGAAATAGAACTATCGATGACAACGAAGCTTACATTTATATTATTCCGGAGTTGTAGTAATTGAGGCTCGATACTGTGTAAAAGCATTGCCCTCCTCTTTTTGACTTGCTAAATAACCGACCCAAATGGCCCGGCCGTGAACATTCAACATTGAAGTTGACAGCCAATCAGAACGCCAATTCACGATCTGCCGGGATACCAGCAGCTGATACGCAAGCCATATGGAGGTGATGCGCTCCGAGTCACTGTTGATCGGCTCAACTCGATGTGATCTGCAGTCATTACAAGCCGCCAGCAGGACTTCTCCATGCCCCGCAATAGCAATCCGAACACAGTTGTGCTGAAATGATGGCATCACACACGTGATTCCCTTCCTCTTGCTGGCGCCGCACGCCACGATTGCCATCACTACATTTACGCACCATGTTGCTGATGATAACGCCGGTTTGCTGGTCGAGCGTTTAACATGGCGGTGCCGCCTATGATGTGCCAGCGATGCGCTTGATGTACATTGGCGATGCGCTTCGGGCCATTTGAGCTTTTCAGCGGGTCGGTGAAAGTCGCGGAGAGGAGACGACCGTCACTTGTCTGTACGTCGGAACGATGCGATGCACTCGGAGCCTTTTACTCCCGACTCTTCTGTCCCTTATCTTCCCTTATTTGAACCGACGCCGCTAAAGCGACCACTGACGCCAAGGATGGATATCGTGCAGGCCTCGTTCCAAGCCTCCTTCGACTCGCGTGTGGATCGCCTCAGCGACGTCGACCTCGACGACCTGCGCGTGGTAATGCGCTGTAAAGAAAATATTGCGAAGTAAACTAATTCGTGGCGCTGCAAGATATTTCGCTACTTCGACACAGACGGAGACGGCGCTGTCTCAGCGGATCAAGCATGCCGCATGTTTGCACTGGTACGATGGCAACTTGACTTGCCAGATACATAAAACTAAAACAAAAATATTGACACAAGCTGATGCTCTGTAGTTGGGGCTCGATGTCAACACTACCCAAGTTCGTGAACTGGGGGAGGTTTATCTCAATGGTAACAAAAGTGAAATTAATTTATTCATCAGATAAAAATCTGAGTTTTTGTTGTGGTTGCAGAGTTCATGAAGATCGTAGACAGTCATGTACAAGTTGCTGCTCCTGTTACAAGTGAAACCCCTGATGCTGTGGAGGCTACAGCACAAGAAGGAAACACACCAGCTCAGCAAATTCCAGATCCGGATGTCGAGGAGGCTGAGAAGAAGCTCCAAAATGAAAAGGCCATGGAAATCGAGTGGAAGTTGCTGGACACGTATCGTCGAGGACGTGTGAGCATGCAGGAGCTGAGACTTTTCCTCGCAAACTGTCATTCAACACTCTCGCTGGACGACACAGTGAGATTCCTCGAAACCTATGGCAACACCATGTGCGTCAGAAAAAAATAATAACTTACCGACAAGTTGACAAACTAATCGGCAATTTTTTTGCAGAGAGAGTGATGGCACTGAAGAATTGGAGTTAACCAAAGAAGGTTTCCTCAAGTTCCGCCGTGAATACACATCCAGAAAGATTTCCCTATCGGACTACGACTCGTCTTCAGAAGATGATGAGGGTGATCTCGTGGGCGACACTGGTACGAAGGAGCAGCGAGCTCCTGACGACTCTGTGTCCTCGGATGCGAACCGAGCAGGTAGCATTAACAGCCCAGTATTAAAGCGACTTCAGTCTCGTCGTCCTGATCGTGGCCCCATTGACAACTCAAGCGACCACATTCGAACTTCTACAGAGCACGAACTGATCGTCAACCCGGACGAACTGATCGAGAGCGACGAAAGCGAAGGAGAACCTGCAACAAACAATCAGAATACGGTTATAACGCAGCAATCCTAAATAATTAGGATGCAAAATAACTAGATTTAACCAGAAAATCAGGACTACACGTCTCTAAATCTGCATCTTCGTCCACGTGGACACTGCAGATGCCACGACAGTCCACGAGGGCAGCACATCCGTGAATTCCTTCATCTCTGGCGTTGTAACTTCGAGGAAGTGGCCAACAAAAGCGACATCGATAGGCTTGTTGGACTCGGCCTCGATCCAGAAATGGTAACTTGAGGGTACAGCACCGCTACAGAACTGAAGAATGTACGCGTCTTCAGCCTCAACCACCGGCCCACTCACTCCATTTCCCATCGACCATGACGTCAATTTGGTTTTCTTGGCATCAATGAAGAGATTCATGTGTGAAGGTCCCGTGAACACAAAGTGAATTTTACGTCGATCTGTGTCCGCTGAATACGTCGACGATAAAACTTCCAGTCTGCAAGTTTGCAGTAAAATACGAATAAGTTTCACTGACATACTCAGAAACTCATAAATTACTTACCTGGCCTTATGGGCATCGTTAGGAAGAGTAGGCGCAGCAGCCGGGAGATACCACGACTTGTCTTCAGGCAGCATGTGCTTCACTGGTAGAGACCACGGCATGTGTCCGTACACTTCTGCGTGCTCGTGTAGCTCTTCCGGGGCCACGTGCATACGCGCATCCTTCCATTGTGTATTACTCAAATAACTCTTGATCGGATCCGGACCACGGAAGTCCAGTGAGTTGATCCAAAGCCCCGAGTCAGTCTGGATATCACCATTTGGAAGTATCACTTCACGTTGAACGTGCTGGAGCATGAGACGCTTCGGGCAGATATCCGAGTACGGGTTACTGTAGATATTATTCCTCGTTAGGGAGGTTATACTTTACCGTAAAGTATCCATAAAATACAAAAACTTACCGAATTGAAGCATACGCTGTAGCAACTACAGTCACAATGATACAAACGTTCCGAACCAGTTTAAGCTGCTTCGTCGGCAAGAAGCAGAACACTCGACCGGAATACGAGACCATAATCTGTACACAACGCTCGTTAGAACCCGGGTATTTCATAAGGAAGACGACAAAGATCTTACCAATAGGATGATGCACATCAAGAGTGACAGCACCACATCAGGAGGCACCACTGGACCGCTTCGACCAAGTAGCGGGATAAAGAACATCAATGCGATCGCAAAGCAGCACATCGTATGGATCACAGGGATGATCATCGCACCCAGCGAGATGAAAATGTACATACTCGACGAGAACATGCGGAAGCGTTGAAGAAGTTGACACAGTATTTGTCCCATCAAAGGGAAAAAGATCCACACTGCCAGGACGTAGCTCGAGATAAGACCCAACTGCATGCAGATCGCCAATGCCCCCATCCAGATGCACATCATGGCTTCAAAGAGACTCTCTTCAAGACGCCACAGAGCTTGAGGAGTGACTCCATCCTTCTCCAATACACAAGCCAATTGATGAACCATTCCTGCCAAGGCCGGAGCCAGGAAGAGCGCTCCAGCCAAGTATGGCTGCGAATACCACGGGAGTGGGGCATACAGACTCAGTATCACTCCAACCGTCAAGGAAGCGGCAATTGCAGTGCCAAAACACCTCGAAATCAACATAAAAGCAGTCAATCGTTCGGACAATGAGACGTGGGATAGTAGGAGGTAAAATACCGCCATCAACACCACTCCACCACACAGAATGAAGGTCGTTGTTTTGCTTGCCGTCACCATCGTGAGTCCCATGACATCCGAGAAGAATGTTCGTGAGGTCTGAGGGTTCTCCGCCACTCTTTTCAACCGTCCAGGCTCGCTTCCCAACTGGTTCACTACACCCACTACATTCTCTCCAAGACGCTGTATCGCACCCGGTTGAATTCGGGAAATATCGTCTAATGTGGTATGGTATACGTAGCCATTAGCGATGTATGCAAAGTCCATTCCCGCAACGTAACCAAAGTCGCGGTAAATTCGGTAGTCGGTATCTGCGGGAATAATTCCCGATTGGAATAACTCCTGCGCAATGATACTTGCATGTGGATACTTAGCGCCTTGTGCATACGCCAAGGCCAATTCATCACTGCCCGTCTGGAAGAGAAGTTCTCGTCCTCCAGCTCCTGCAGCTTCCAAGTTGATAAAAGCTCGAATAGCATCAGTCCACGGATGTTGCGTAATAAACCCATGTGCCGCCTGCATAATTGTCTCCTCGGCACCGTTAAAGTTAAATACCAACGTCGCGTGTTTGGGCGGATTCAACACGAACATTCGCAATAATTCCATCATAATTGCAATATTCACACCGTCGTCTGACGCTGCAGCGCCTCCAATGGCTGCGTCGTAATGGGACGAGATCATTAGCGAATTATTGAGCGCTTCTGGGGAGGCATTGGGTGGTGAGACTTTGACCAGAATGTTGGTCACGTTGGCGTAAATGTTCTGGAACTGCGCGATGAAGTCCAGTCCAAAGGCGCCCGAGGGTCTCTGTACGTCCACGTCCACACTAACTCCTGTCGGCTTGGAAGCTCGGATCTCTTCAATCTACAATATCACAATAGCGTACAATAACACATTAGCACAATATTACAATAAAGAACTCATATCCAACGTTCTACCTGCTCCAACAAGTAGTTTGGGGTCAGTTCTTCGTTGGCTTTGGTGCCTACTGGACGATATCCGAAGCTCATGATCTTCTCCAGCACCACACGCGCCCTGTCCTCAGAGAACTCGCTGGGAGGAGTGTTTAGACCCTTGGGCTGCGGCAACCACGTGTGCCAAAACGTCACAATGGCGAAGGCCGAAGCGTAGAAGGCCAGGAAGCCCAGCACTACGAGCCAGCCGCGCGGTAGCGACGGCTGGAAGCGGCGATGGCGCTTCTTGTCATGCGGGTAGTCGTAAGAAGCGTTAACATCCGTGGGAGACGGAGAAGCGGCAGGTGCCGGACGACGGTGACGCACTTCCATCGTGTTGCAATGAATGCAAATTCAGGAATGGCCATCAAAAATGAAGTTATAAGATAATGGATGTGTGACACCTCATTTTTGAATTATTCTGTTGAGAGGTAAAATGCCATATAGAAGGTGATTTTGCGTGAATAGCTCAAAAGAGATGACGATAGAATATAGGTTATGAAATATGGTCGGTTAGTACAACTGATGAAACATGTCGCTTGGATTATGGTACGACATCTACCCCGTTCGAGAAGGTTTCTCTTCCTACAACAACAAACTTAAGTACGATTACATGTTAAAAGCGACATGCTTCTGCTTTCTCCTTAAGTTGCTGACTCGATCCAGCCAAAAAAAAAGTTGATTCACGCTCGCGCTGGTCACTGCGGCCTGGATTTGCAGTCTCTTACTCGCATGATGACGGGATGATATAAACCAGCACCATACTTATCGCTTAGAAATAGATAATATAAGTGTTGCTTGCTATTCAGAAAGACTTTTCCGGAGACCAGTGTGTCACTGTCACCTTTTGGCATCCAGACAACATCCGCGTCAAAACAAACAATGCACCCTCTTTTCGAGTTCACTCTGAGTGCCAGCGGCGTTAACTGCTTAAAACAAACAAACAAAAATCTGTTTTGAGGAGGCAATACATCAATTATTACTGTAAGTGTTTGGAACCTTTTAAACGTCGACACGTGAATCTATACGCTCGCATCCGTGTGAGCAGAAATGACAGAGAACATCTCCTACCTCTCGACAACGCAGGTTGCAAGAGTTAGAAGTTGTAGCGATCCCTGACGTGGTCGAGGATGCGACGTAGCATCCAGCCATCGCTCGGCGTAATGGTGGACGAGCTGTAGGCCATCATGATGGAGTTAGGGAAGTCCTTGGACGGCTTGGTCTCCAGACCATAAAAATCTGGCAAACCGAAGCCGTGACCGATTTCGTGGCCGATAAACAGAATGTTCTCATCGTACAGGTTGCTCAGCGTGTCGTTAAGACTCACCTCCTGGCCCCAATCGTAGCCAAAGCCGTAAGGGATCTTGTCATTCAGCCAGAACGAGACATCGAATGGCTCACCTTGGCACGCGCTCGTGTCCGACCATATATTGTTCACATTGTCGTAGTACCGGTAACACTCGTCAGGACACTGCGGCACACCGTCCGAGTCGACACTTCCCTCGTAAACCGGACCAAGCGTGTCATCCGTCCATTCGAACTGTGACTTGTCCTTAGCGGCCCAACCCACCATATTCACCTTGATCTCCGTGAACGGCCAGCAATTGTAGCCTTCCAACCACTTGTTCCACTTGTTGAAGTGGCGTTCCAGGATGCCCTGGAACGTGGAAGCCACACCCTTGGACAGCTTCGTACTGCTGTCCCAGCGAACGCAGTAGTTGATCGATCCTTTGTTGTGCACAAGCTTATCCATGAGGAAATTCTTGTTAGCCATGACGTTCCAGTTGGCTTTGTCAGACGTGTCGGCGTTCGGACCAATTCGATGCTCCCAAACCCAATCCAAGTATTCCTCGCTAATGTACTCGGTCGGTGAGGCGACGACGCACTCGCCGGACTTCGAAGTAATCTTACCAAAGGTAGGCTTCACACTGGTAATGTTGGTACCGGTTGATGCGACTACCGGCGCTCCCCACACTGACATACTTTGAACAACATCACCCGTTGCGGTCTTGCTGATAGTGCTGTCAGCGAGCGACGTGGTAGCCAAGATGGCGGCAATAAGGAGGTGAGAAGCGAGGCTTGATCTCATGATGGAGAATGTGAGAATGAGTTCCCCCTCAAGACACGAATGAAGTCGGTGAACGCCAGACAAAAGCACTACATGTACCAGTTCCCAGATGTAGTGTCGTGGTCTTGTTGCTCCTACCGCCGCCAAGCTTTCGAAGCTCACGACACTATTGATGTGATAGAGACCCCGCAAGGTGGTGTTCACCTCGTTGAACAAGATGGAAAGCCCAAACTGCTGGAAGGGCAAAATGCATCATCTCATTATTGGACAGCCCGGACAGCAGGAACTGGAATCGCATCATCTCGTTGAACAAGATGGAAATCCAGAACGGCACGAACAGCAGTCGAAAATGGTAAACCTCGTGGTCACCATGGTGGCGCACATCCTAAAAGCAGGCCAAAACGAAGAGTGCGGCTGATTTGCTCAATGAGTCAACGAATTCGCGAGATTGCTTCGAGACGCAGCGAACGCACAACTACCAGTCGCGCTGGCAAGTGATGCTGTTGAGGCGTGGGAGATTAACCTGCGGAGGTGTGTCGTATGCGCTGCAGCAGCGAGCTGCAAGGCATTTATACTCTCCGATATTGGTTCAGTAGGCGTTATCAAAAAAAAAAAAAAAAAAAAAA